GAGCAGATGATCGACGATGCTAGCATCAATGGCGGAACTCACCCCGCGTTCCCATTCATTACCGGCCACGGTGGTGCTAACCAGGTAGCCCTCTATGGGTACCTTGGTCTGCGTCTCCACCCTGATGACACCCTTTACATCGACCCGAATCTTCCGCCCCAGATCCCTCATATCACTTACCGGACCTTCTACTGGCATGGGTGGCCGATTTCTGCGTGGTCCAACTACACGCACACCACGATCCAGCGCGATTCATCTCTTGCACCACTGGCAAGCGCCGACCTTCTCTTCTCCAACGTTAGCATCAAGGTCCAAGTCGGCCAGTCCACCGCCTCGGCCGATGAGGCGACTATTTACTACCTTCCACTCTCCGGAGAACTGACGGTCCCCAACCGCATGATCGGGTCTGTTAACACAACTCCTGGCAACCAAGTCCAGTGTCATCCAGTCTACTCCCCGGATGCCTACGAGCCAGGCCAGTTCCCCATCTCTGCCGTGGACGGTGCTACTTCCACCAAGTGGCAGCCCTCGACGTCTAACTTGACTTCTTTGACGGTCACTTTGTCCCCCACGACAGACGCGGCTGCGGAGGCAGTTTCTGGCTTCTACTTCGACTGGTCCCAGGCACCGCCCCAGAATCTGACCGTCATCTTCCACGATTCGCCCATCGGGAACCCCTCCACTGTGTTCGCTGCCGCTGGCTCGAACTCCACAGGATACCGGGTGGTTACTTCGATGTCGAACATCGTGCAGTCGAAGCCGTACAACGCCATCTCTGCGGAGGAGCTGAACGTTGTCTCTATCCCTACCGCCAACACCACCACAATTACACTGGATGCGCCCGTCCAGAAAGCCCGGTACGCCACGCTCTTGATCGCGGGCAACCAGGCCAACGAGACTGCTGGTGCTACGGTGGCTGAGTGGGTCATTCTGGGACAGAACAGCACTTCCAGCTCCGCGGCACAGGCCAAGCGGCAGATGAGTGCACGGAGCAAGGCCACTCTGGCTCACCTAAGCTGAGCAGCTTGCTCACTTTAACTACGAGACGGTCGCTGCTGTAACATAAGTATCCTTCTATATCTGGATGAGAAGTACATAATCAATTAATGCTACATAATATGAATTACGATCGATCGATCCTCGCTAGCCACAACTGGCTCACCATCCAGTCTTCCGACCGGCCAGTGTACCAGCCATGACTAGATAATGTATGTATGCGAGCACGCTAATAGATACAAGAAGACAACCCCACCATAATACCGCTGTCGCGTAGCAGCACAGCAGATCATAAACAGATGCCTCTAACTTCAGAGACACCCACCACTCACCAGTAATCACCAGTAAAGAAAAATCGATTACTCCTCATCCAGCGCGAACCGATCCAGGAACCTAAACGTCCTCAACCCCTCCCTAACACTATCCACGAACTCGGCCCCAACCGTCTGCCCCACCACAACACCCTCTCTCTCATCATCAATCCCCGCATTCCGCAACGCACCCTCCCCACTCCCAACCGCCCCCACCGTCTTCCCGAACCGAAACGCATCCACCAGCACCTGCAACGGTCTTCCAGCCGGATACAGGGTACTCACGGCACTACCCGTAGAATTACGCTGCGGCGCAGTGACCGATCCCTCCGGAAAGAGCCCCTCCGCACCAGGCGCGACAATCACCGCATCGAACTGGATCGCGTCGGAGGCCGAATATGTCTGATCGACTCCGTCAGTCAATCTCTCCGCGACGACTACCACATCCACTTCATCGTCTTTCAGCTCTGTCGCGAGATCCTGCGCGGCGGTGATCGACGAGGGGGTTTGCACGGAGGCGAGGAAGCCAACCTTCAGGTTGGAGAGTTTCTTGAGCGGCGTGCCGAAGGTGCCTACGTCGGTGGTTTTGTTGTCGTGGTAGTATGTTGGGTCTGGGGAGGGGGCGGGGACGTCGATGGCGCGGGCGACGCGTCGGGCGAGGTCGTTGGAGATGCGGTTGAGTTGGATGATGACGTTCTGCCGGACGGTGGTGGATTTGACGTTGCTGGTTTCGAAGCGGATGGCGTCGATTAGGAATTGTTGTTCCGTGGGGACGAGGGAGTTGTAGAAGAGGCGGGGTTGGGACCACACGTCTTGGAAGGTCGGGGACGTGCTGCGTAGGAGGTGGCCTGAGGTGGTGCGGCCTGGGGAGGTGAAGAAGCCGTTGCCGGTTGTTTGGTTGGCTTGTTTCGGGGAGGCGGAGTTGAGGGTGTTGGGGCTGTAGGCGTTCGGGTTCAGGGGGATGTACATTTGGCCTAGATAAGTGGGTGGGTGGTTAGTGGGAGGTGAACGGGGAGGTAAGGGAGGGGAGAGGGGATTTACCTGCGCCATCGCGGTTGTTGTTGTGGATTGGGACGCGGGGCTGATTGATGGGCAGCTGTTCGAAGTTGGGGCCGCCGTGGCGGTTCAACTGGGTGTCGAGGTAGGAGAAGAGACGGCCCTGCAGCAGAGGGTCCTCGGTGAAGTCGACTCCGCGGACGATGTGGCCGGGTTGGAACTGGTCGCGGTTAGATTGGTTCGTAGCGTAGGTAAGGCCCATGAAGGTTATGCGGGTGGAGAGACAAGGAAGCAAGGAGCGACATACCATGACCTGCTCGGTTTCCGCAAAGTAGTTGAGCGGGTTGCGGTTGAGGGTCATTTTTCCGAGCTTCGTGATAGGAACGTACTCTTCCGGCACGATCTTTGTGGGATCGAAGAGATCGAACCCGAAGCGCAGCTGGTCTTCTTCGTCCATGATTTGCACGCCGAGCTTTGCTTGTTAATTTTGAGCTCGCTGCAAGGGAATGTGTCGCACATACCTCCCACTCCGGGAACCGTCCATACTCGATCGATGTCCAGAGATCCTGACGCATAAAGTCCGAGTTCTTGCCCGAGACCTGTTGCGCTTCTTCCCAGACCATGCTGGCCTTGCCCTGCAGCGACTTCCAATGGAACTTGACCAGCTTGGACGTGCCGCTGTCCGTCACGAGCCGGTATGTGTGCACGCCGAAGCCGTCCACATGCCGGAAGGATCGCGGAATACCATGTCCAGCCATCGCCCAGAAAAGAGTATGCAGAGCACTGGGCTGCTGGCTGAAGAAGTCCCAGGCCGAGTCGTGGGCAGTAGCGGCCTGGGGAATCTCGCTGTCACCTCTGGGCTTGACGGCGTGGATCAGATCGGGGAATTGAATGGCATCCTGAATGAAGAACACGGGGATGTTGTTTCCGACGAGATCTGACGGGTTAGTGGTTGGCTGAGAGTAGAGAAGACAGGGGTGACTTACCGAAATTACCCTCATCGGTATAGAAGCGAGTCGCAAAACCATGCACATCGCGAGCAAGATCGGTACTACCACGACTACCAGCGACAGTGGAAAAGCGCACAAACATTGGAGTTTCCTTGCCCTTTTCGGAGAGAAAAGAGGCCGCGGTGAGGTTGGAGAAGTCGCCGTAGGAGACGAAGACACCATGGGCACCGGCGCCACGGGCATGCACGGCGCGTTCGGGAACCTACATTCTTAGTGGTGCAATTGCGTAGTAGACCAACAATAGAACTTACCCGTTCATGATCGAAGCGCTGGATCTTCTGGCGGAAGATAAAGTCCTCTAGCAAAGTGGGACCGCGTTCACCAGCGCTCAAACTGTTCTGGTCCTCAATGGGGCCGCCCACGTCGGAAGTGAGGTAGGTGTTATTGTCATTGATGTAGTACTGAGAGAGGAATTCCTCAGTGGATTCTGAGGCATCTGAGGAGTCGCGAGCAGAGAGATCACGACTCATGTAAGGGCAGGCGGCATTGGCGAGGCCAATGAGGCCGACGAGACCGATGGAACGCATGGTCGCGTTGAAGGGAAGGGGAGGATTGGACTAGGCCCAGGGAAGATGAGGCAATTGGAGAGGTGAGAGAAGAAGGAAGGGGAGGGGAAGGTGAGGGAAAGAGAGGGGGAGACCGAGGGCGTTATATAGAGTGAATGGGATTGGCATTGGCATTGCATTGGCATTGGCAGTAAGTAGCTACTAACTGACTAGATAGTACTAACTGACTAGTACGAATGTAGGAGCCGTCTGTTCCCAGCATGTTTTGTTAGATACCAGTCGGGTGTGTACCTTACTTGGGATGATATCTTTCGGTAAGGAATCCTGGGATGCGTATTGAGATGCAGACACACGGCCAATGGCGCGTTGCTCATTGGCCGGGGGGTCCATGCCCCGGCCGAGACCCAGGCTTGGCGATGAGGAGGAGGTCGAAGCTGACTGGCGGGAGGGCTTGGTAATCGGGAGGTCTGGATGGAAAGGGACTGGCTTGGCAGGCGATGACGTTGAATTCCACTCGTGTCGTGCCATAAAATACAGTATTATCGTGATGATAATAATAATAACTAAATGACAAAATAGCAATGATGTTGCACAAAACCTGAAAAATGGGAAGTGTCGGGATTGTCAATTAGTCTTCCCCACTCATGTAACAATAACAATGATAACAACAACAGCAACAACAACAACAACAACAACAACAACACACAACTAATTGGTCTTCCCCTTGCAGGGTGAGAACTTCAATTCAGCTGTGGCCCAAATACTTATTGTACTACCTCAGGCATAAACTTACTAAGGACCATGGGACTGGTTTCATGCACGAGGAAGATAATTCCACAATGTACATTGGCTAGGACACGTTCAAGTTCATGTTCCATATGCAGGACCCTAATCAGCTATTAATAACTAACCCGACGGTTCCTTACAGCACCTCCCCTCACCCCCAGTTACACTACTACTAGTACCACTACTAGTACAACAACTAAATATGATCAGACCATCCAGCCAAGCCCACCCCCGCAGCCGGGGATTCTTGGTCCTGCAACGTGCTGAATTTCCATCACACCGACGCGTCGCCGCCCAGACACACAACCTACTAGTAGTAAGAAGGACATCACAAAAGTTCTATTTCTGTACAAAACCTAGTCTACACATCCCCCATCTATCTTAGCATATACTATCTAAAAATACTTCGGCCAAACCGGATCCTCCCATGTCCTTCCCCCCTTTATCAACTGACTGTCCACTCCATCTGCTCCCGAAGAAACATACAACACCTTGGCCTGTGCCCCCTCATTCCAATATTTATACGTCACTCCCTTAGGCACAAACACCACATCTCCCATCTCCACTCTGGCAGTCTCATACTCCCCAATCTGCACCTGCACGCTACCCTCCAGCACCTCCAACGCGGCCGGGCCCGCCGTCCACGTCGGGGCTGTCGCGTTGCTCGGCTGCCGACTCATGATAATCGTGCTCAGGGTATAGTTTGTATCCTGGGCCTGCGTGGCCGTGACCAATGGCTGCACGATCTGGTACGCACCGTACTGCGAGTTGAGGTACTTGGGGCCGTAGTTGTTGGCGATGAAGTATGGCTGGCCCGCAGCGCCGAGGGTATCGGATTCGGTGTGCCAGCCGGAGTCGGAGGGAGCGGAGCCGTTGACGAAGTCCCGGCGGGGAGTGAAGTCGAGTTGTGCGTAGACGTCGTATTGTTGCAGGCCGGAGATGGTGCTGCTGTCGGGGCCGGTGGCGGAGGAGGAAGAAGAGTTGCTGGAGCCAGGTACGTAGGGGGTTTCGGTGCCGGAGGTGTAGTTGGTGCCGAGGGCGTAGAAGAGGTCCCTATTATTTCAAGATTTGATTAATATGCTGATATGTGAGTAAATAGATGGGGAATTGGCTTACTCGAATCCACCAGGAACAATCACTCCCACCATTTCAGTATCCGGGTCGAGGATCTGGAACGTGTGTGTTGTGTTCCGAGGTACAGAGCCATAGTCTCCCTGGGTGAGGAGACGGCCCTCCTGTTCTCCGTCGCCCTTTTGGGCCCAGAGCTGGAAGCGACCCTTGAAATTGAAGAAGTTCTCATAGTGCGTGCGGTGGATGTGAGGGAGGACACCGAGGGAGCCGCTCGAGGGCGCATTGGTGCTCATCAGCGTGAAGGCATAGTCGGAGGATGGGCCGGTGACTGTGAACCGGTACAGTTGGGAGCCGATCGTCACGGCATGGGAGTTCTCATAGTGAGGGAGGATATAGGGGCGAGGGGACGAGGGGGCCTCGGAGACGTAGAGGTCCTCGACGGATAGGGCTGAGGTGAGGGCCAAAAGAGAGGAAAGGACGAAAGAACGCATGGCGATGGAGTCTTCAGATTTAGGTTCCGATCAGATCTTGCTGATTCTTCGATAGACATTCTCTGCAGCTACGATTCTACAAACTTATACCCTTCGGATGGACAATGAAGCCCGATATTCACACCGGAAATCCCGAGATTCTGCAACATGGCCCATCTGGTACGCGAAATGAGCTGCAGACCTCGTCGCAGGGCCCGATTTGCTGGAATTGCAGATACCTCAGCGACCAGACAAGACAATAGGGTAGACGAACCTCGGGCCCTGTACGGATCCGGTCATGAGTCTCCGGAATGACGAAACGCCGTGTGTGTCGGAAAATCCGAGAGTAGGATAGCGATCAACAGGTCCACTGCAGGAACTATCCAGGCCAAGGGACGCCATTCTTGGCGGGAACAAAGTGAGTCGTTGTCCTGCCTTGGATTCTTCACGCCCCGGGCTGCAGATTATCTGCAGCCACCTCTACCTACCTTAAATCCCCATATACTCTAAAAGTATCATTTACAAAAACATCAAATGTCTACTTACTCTGCACCTCCCACACAGAAACCACCCAACAACACTGAAGAAACCAAATGCCCCCGATGTCGATCACCGTCGATCATTCAAGGTCCGAGAGCTCCGATAAACGGCGGGTCGTCAACTCGGCATTTGTCTTTGCGGAAAAACCACCCAGGCAGCGGGGAAATGCCGCATACAGAGTAGTCTACCCAATGTCAACCAGGCATAGTCTGTAGATAATAGCCACACACACTAACCCACTCTTAGTAAGTCTAGACATCGCTTGGGAGTCAGCCAGGAACACTGAGGGTCAATCAAGCACGTAAATAGCCTAGGATTGTCCGTGAAGATTGACTAAGCGGAAACCATCGGAAAAATAGCTAACAAGCCAGACTCCGGAGGGGGACTTGTGGCAGGTACACCTGGGTCAGTTATGAGGATCTGCTTGCACCCAAGACTTGGTGCGGACAGAGGCCGGGTAAATAGACTGTCAGTGTCTGCTTTGTGTGCTCCGTAGTGTTGGGGGAGTGGCAGAGTGCCAAGGATGGTTTGACGTGAAACGGCCGCCAGTTTCATCCACTTTTTCCTCCTTCCTTCCACTGACAGATATATTCTCTCGGTAGTGGATAACCCGAGAAACAATTTCAGTTGAGCTCATTACGGCATAGCTTCTATGACATATTGCAAACATGTAAAATGTAAAGGAGAAATTAAAATGAAATGAAGGTGTGTGTTGTAGTGTGGTGCGGGTAAAAGTGAAAACCGAAAAACAAAAGCGGGAGAAAAAAGAATTGTCCCTGGGCGGGGTCGAACCGCCGATCTCAGTGATTCCTGTATGATGAAACCATAAGCACTATGCCTTAACCACTTGGCCACAGGGACAACTGTTTTATGTGGGGAATTTCTTAATATGGATTATACCCTACTTCTGGCAAATATCCGGGGTGAGGGTGATTTTTTTGTTCATGGTTCCTTGGGTTGATTGTGGGGGGAAGCGTTATGTTTGGTACGACGTGACATTTTACTTTGTAGAGTGGCGTGTCTTATTTATGGGGTTGGTGTTGTGTAGCTAGCTGTATTTGAAGGGTTTGTGTAGTAGGGTGTATGTATAGATTGTGGTTTTGACTGACCTGCGACCGAAATACATATTCGCAGTCCAACTTAGCGAGGTACTAGGCTATCTATCTATTCTTTAGTTGTTTACTTTAGAATATAGGGACCCATGAAAAAAAAAAAAAAAAAAAAAACGACGCCGAAAATGGCTCCCCTCTGCATCCCAACCCAGACACCCCTCCTTCTCGCCCAGCCTGGTCGAGCGGCTATAAGATTCTTCGTCTGCCCTCTCCCTCGGGGGGTCTTTCAACAACCTTCTCATCCCATCTCCTCTCCCTCGATCGACCTCGACACGCTTGACTCGCAAGTCTCCTATCACAGAATCCAAGTCTTGGCGCCTGTCTCCCGATTCTTCTCATGGCGCCTGTGTCCGTACCTCCAGGTCAAGGCGATGAGCACTGCTGCATATAGACACCGTCGTCGATGCCATTGTTGATTACACTTGCTAGTGGACTAAGTCAGACTATCTTTCTCCCTGGTATATTTTAGGTTCTTCTCGGGCTTGCAAGGTAAGTTATCACCCCTTTTTGAAGGACTATTATTGACATATTACGTAGCGAGGGGCCCCCGATTTGGTTCCAGAATTTGATTCGAGGCGGTGCCACATCTCTAAAAAGTGGATTTCAAAGGGCGCCAGGAGATTGACCCGACGACAGAAGGACTTAAATAGAGACTAAAGGCTGGGCTGGTAGCCTCTTCTTGCATGTTTATTTGCTAATCAATGTTCCTTCAATATTTTTGACGATGGAAGGAAAACAAAATGGCAAATACGATTAACAATATAAAAACGTTCTCTCGTCCAATCCGCACCTAATTCAAGTCCTCTCTTGTCGTTGCGAAATTATTCCCGTGGACTGGTAACCTGGACAATCAATGTTGGGATAATTCCACCTACAACGACGATTCCACTCATGAGCCCGGCCGTATTAGTGAAACCTAGAGCACGAAACATGTATGGGAAATAGAAAGGGCCGACCTAGATGTTCCTGTTAGTGAGGGGAATAGGCGCCGAGGTAAAGTAGAGGAGGACGAACAAAACCATAAAGTAGCCTGATAACGTTGAACAACACTCCAATTGAGGCAGAGCCACTGGGCGAAGTATCGATGGCATACGCAGTGAGAATGGTAGATTGAATCTGATTGCCAAAGCTGGCAATGGCAATTCCAACACAGGGGGTCACATTCCAAGATTTCGCCCGCTCAAGTTGAAACCCCCAAACGAGCTGACCAGCAATGATAGTGAGGAAGCCAATATAAGTCAGCCAGAGGCGGTCGGCCGGACAGACTCGGCCTTTGCGCTTTCGATAGACCTTCATGAAGTAGTCGGACATTGGCCCACCGATCTGCTCTCCAATGACGCATCCAATGATGATGGGGATGAACTGGAGACCGGTTTGTTGAGCATCGAGATGGAATTTCTCCCCAAAAGTGAGGGGCATCTCGACCACGAAGACGATATTTGCATAGCAGAAGGTGATAGCAGTAGCTAGAGCTGCTATCAAGATCCGAGGGTTCTTGGCTAGGCGGAATGGAGACACAAAATCCGATATTCTGATGGGACGCGCATCAAGTCGTTTGGGCAGCAACCCACGGAAGATCGAGACTTTTTCTTCGGCAGCATCAGCATCATTCTCAGGTTCCCTAACACGAAGTGTCTCCCCGCCAAGGCAGATATAAGCGACCGCTTGCAAGAAATTGATGATGGCAAATATCCAGAATATGAATTCCACTCGAATGTGCTGCACCACGAATCCCATGATAAAGGGACCAGCCGGGGTACCGAGGATGGTCATCAAAACCCACCATCCCACCTTCCGGGCATATTCATCCGGAGTGGATAGTTCAGCCACCACTCCACTTCCAATTCCAATCGGTGGAGATATGAAAGCTGCAGTCAAAACACGAGTGATAATTTGGCTAGCGTAACTGTCGCACCGGGCGCCTCCGATATTGCATACCATACTCGCAAGGACCGAAAAGATCAGGATATAGTGGCGGCCATATCTTTCTGTGATGACAATCCAGAAAATTGGTGCTATTCCAAGTAGTACGATCTAAAGACGGATTCTTATCAACAAAGCCCGATCCCACTCTGGGAATTATTACGCAACAAGAATACTTACTTGAAAGGATACCAGGTAGCTTGCGTCAGCAAGGGACACGCCATAAGATTCTGCTAATGAAGAAACTGCTGGCACGACTCCTGCTGCCATGAACACTGAGATCATGGAGTGAAATGAGACCATTAAAATCATAGTATTCTTCTTCCATTGTGGCCAGTCGACCGCCTGGCGAGAAGTACTAGATTCCATTGACGACGAATGGACTGCTCCTTCCAATTGGACAGGAGGACCCGATTCACTTAACTCCAGATGCTGGAATTCGTTCTTTGACTGAAGGTCGCCAGAGCCTGTGTCGCTCATGGTTGCGGGGAAGGATTGAAATTGGTCAAATAGAGATTTCTATTATATTCTAATATAAGATGAATTGAAGCTTAGAGAGCTTGCTCCTGATAGTTTTGCTGTTGGAAGAACCCAGCCAGCCCACCTCCTTTTCTATCTATCCATATCTCACATACTTTACTTTCTATACTAGGGTTTCCTAACGCCTCCTAATCTAGTTCAATGCGGGGTAAGAGTGTCATTCCCCACAGAAAGCAGCCAGTTTATAGTTTCGGTTCTCATCCCGGACTGTAATGATCCTTGGTTCCCCGCGTTTCGGGACTAATCCCGTGTATCTGGGATGGCAGGTGTCTGATTGGGGCAGAAGGATCGGTAGGTTGGGCCTAATTCAAGGTTTGCGCCCCGTTTCCGCGAGGTCAGCTCTTCGCCCAATAAAAGTTAATCGTATCCCCAGAAGATCCGAGGAATAAGATGGGATCTATCCCGAGTGCTTAGACCCCACAGCGGCACGCATCCCCCCTCGTGTGTTGTTCACCGCAATTGCATTCTAATCAATATTGACAGTTACGAATGGAGTACAGTTATAGCGGAATTATGGCGCGTCAAGTTCAGATACGCCGTAAAAAGAGCTATGAGCGTGGAAGGGCGTCTCAAAAAAATTGGCACATTTGGTCATTCTTGATTTAAATTTCGATATCATCTCCCCATCACACGAGGAGCGAAAAGTTTTACAAAGCTAGGGTACTACCTTTTCACTCAAGAGCCATATTGCTATGGCTTGTTGAAAAGGTTGTTCGCATTTCCAAAGTAGATCTTATCGCGTAGCTCTGGGTCAAGCGGGAAGCCATCTAGAATTTGCTTGAATCCAAGTGATTTGTCGGGGGACGCATAAGGAAAATCAGAGCCTGTGGAATATATTAGCTACTAGTGACAAATAACGGAACATATGAAAAAACCTTACCATAAGTAATATGATCATGCGGAATAACTTCGAGAACCAGCTTGAGACCGGCCTCGGAACTGGAGAGGGCCAAGTCAAAGTAGAATGACCGAAAGTCTTCCATGATCTCTTCGGAGGATTTCCCATAAATGCGGGCGGTTGCAGCGGCTTCCTTCGACACGGTGCAAATGCGCGTAATCAAGAAGGGCAGCGTTCCTCCGGCGTGGGAGAGAATCACTTTGCAGTCTGGATAACTTCTCTTTGTGTTGGTGATAATCATGTCGACAGCAGTTCTCGTGGTCTCATGGGGATAATCAATGGCTGGTTGCGGCAGGAGAGGGTTAACTCGAGTCGTATCAGCGGGATGAGTAGGGTGAATGAAGACCACGGCCTTTCTGGAATTCAATTCCTCCCAGATAGGCTTGAATTCAGGGCTACCAAGGTAATGGTTCCCTGAGCCGTATCTTGTAAATAAAGTCACACCTTCAGCCTTCAACACATCTAGGGCGTATTTGATTTCCGCCAGAGCGCCTTCGGTATCGAGAAGGCAAGGCAACGATGCGAAAAAGCCCCATCGCTGTGGATCTTCATCACGCTTGGCTGCAGCGTTCTCGTTCGCCTTGCGGGCCAGTGCTCTTCTCTTCTCGGTCGTTGGGGCGATGACTGCTCCAGGCGCAGTCAGCGACAAGATAGCCTTGGTCACACCAATCTTGTCCATGAACGCAATGTCGCCCTCGGCTGACCAAGAAGGTGTCGGCCAGCCAGAAGGGTCACCTCCAGCATCCTCGACAGCTGTGAACATCTACTCAGAATCGTATCCTTGTTGGGAGGGGGTTGTTGTGATATACCTTGAGCATAAAATTCGGGGACGAAGTGGTGATGAGTATCGATGAGGCTCATTGTGAATTGCAATTCTGTTCGCTGCTTGATGATTTTTTATCATAGAGAGAAATGCAGACAGGCAGAATATATACCATCGACAGTGCAATAATACCTGGTGTGAAGTGATCCCCACAATGAATATGCCGGGTTTCCGGTTGCCGACCTACCCGGAGTCAATCGTGGACGCCTGGCCGATTTGCCGCTGTTGTCATTTACAGTTTCGATGACACGTTCAACGATCTAGCCAGTTAACAGATGCGCAACGCATTGACCATCAGGCATAATGGTAAGTAGGTTCGGGATATATCCCGGTGCTCGGACCTCCTTCCCTTCGTTTGGGTCAGTCCTTGTTTCCGCCACTGCAGTACGTGTGTGGAGATCTTGACAGCCCAATTTGACCCACAGATCTAAGTGGGCAGGTTTTAAAAGAATACAAAATCTTTAAACCTCGTTGAATTCCATTAGACATTTCTTTCTAATTAATGCGAATTATCTTCATAACGCCCTTCTCTTCCGGTCCATCAGTGACATAGCTAGGGTTATCCGGTATTCTCTCTGAGTTTAAGATCGATTGGAACAGATGCCAAGATAACAGAGTGGATGAGATAGGATAGATAAAGGGAAGGACTCCAGGGGCCCCCATGGTCTAGAGGGAACAACCCCCCCTTAATCTGTTCCTCGACTCCCCTTGACTTCTCCTGCCAACTTGAGGGTGTCTGGAATGATGAATGCCATCTAAAAGCAATTGCATGTTGATGGAGCGGTCTCTGTCACGAGGCAGAAGAGATTGTAGCTTCAGGACGCCTGAACAACAAATTACGGGATCTCGCTCAGGTGTGCCTAATATCGTACCCAACAAACCTTCTGTAACTCACACTGTCTTGGAGCTCTACCACTTCCGAGACTTGTTCTCACTCACGGCAGTTCTGCGTGGGCTCTCAAACGGATGCGTCGGGCTTGAACCTGAATTGTCTCTATTTCTTGATGAGAGTCGAAAATAAGACTTCAATGAGAGGATTGGAAGGGGTTTGGTATGTACTAATCTTGTCAACCAAGTCCAAGCTCCCTTGGGTCCTGGCTTTTGGAGACTGTATATGTCTCAACTGTAGAATTGTTTAGATCTCTTGTAGTATATGATTTATGTTAAATAGTAATTATTAAATATATCTCACATGCTTCGGATCTGCCAATGATAGAATATGTCAAGATAATATATATAGTGTTCATTTCAGTAGAACAGTTAAATAGTATCAGACTGCTGACTATTCTTTATTGACCCAGTTAATAAAACTCAGTAGAGGATAAAGATACGCAAGCTACTAAACAAGCTTTTTTAAGGAGAAGATGACCGACAATGATGCCAGTACATCATATCAGGCAACTAAGCCGAAAGCAGCAAAACTAACTGTAACGGGAAATTCACAGGTCCCAGAATTTACTTATCTAACTGCAGTACATGTTTAATCTTCCCTATCGTTCAGTTATCATCATCCAACATATCTGACAATTCCCATTACTACTCTCCAACCTGTCGTTTTTACCACACCCCCCGACAGACAGATTGCTCTATCCCGCCGGTCGGACCGTCTCTCAGAGCGCCAGCACTAGAGCCTACTACTTGAATCACTCCCCTGCGACCCTCTCATCCGGCGATAAACAGAATACACATCCTGCACATTATCCTTCCCCCAACTAACCAGAAGTTTATTCCTCTGGACAAAGTCCATAGTATCCAGCATCTTCTCTTCCCTCCGTTCACATTCCGTATCCGAGAGCTCGCCATCAGCACACCGCAGATATACCCTCAACATGTCGAAATGTTTATCCTTGGGGAGATTGAACGTGTTGTAACTCTCGTTAATTTTTCGGTGGATCGTGATATCCCATGGATCTCTCCTAAAATACCACCATCATCAGTATACTACTACTCATGTCTACGACAAAGAAAGGAAAGGAAAGAATAAACTCACGTATCCAGCGACATACCCTCCGCGACCACCGCATCCCAAACCATCCCCACGGGCATCGCCAAATCCATCACAACCTGCCGAACAGGCACATCCGGCGCATACGAAAAGACAAAACTCTCGTCATCGACCAACAGAAACGCCTCCGGACTCTCTAGCACAGTCATTCCGCAATCGCTCAGTATCTTCTTATCGAGCTTCGTGTATGCCGAATCCTGCAGCAAGATCTCGATTTCTGTCGGTGTCCATGCCATTTCCTGCAGAATTCGTTGTAGCATGAGCAGGAAGGCATGCTGATAGGCACTGCGCTCCCTGGTGAACTTGTCAAGCCTGAGGTTGGTTATGCTGTTGCATCCGAAGGCGATGATCTTGCTGACGGGGCGTTTGATGGTGGGTAGTTTGCGCAGAGTCGCGAGCATGTTCTTGTAGAGAGCGCTGTCTGTCCAGGTGTGGAAGATGGTGTTGAAGCTTTCGTGCGCGGATGCTATTTCTTTCTTGGTGGGGTCGTAGTCGTCATAGTCGTCTTCTTCGTCGTCTTCGTCTTCCCCGTCTAGACGGCGGAATTTGTGGCCTAAGGCGAGATTCGAGTATAGGAGGGAGGGATGGCGTGCTTCAGGGCTGGGGGTGATGTAGTCTGTTGGGGCGGGGAAGAGTTCGAGGAAATGTTTGACACTGAATTTATGGTCGATTAGTATTTGCGATCAGTAGATGATGAAGAAGTAGAGGGAGCAATACGTACCCAACCATAGCTACACCCTGTTTATTGCGCTCAATTCTCTCCGTCATCACTTCAAACCCTACATCCGCGCCATCCAATGCAGGAATGTACACGATGTCGCCCGGCTTACACCTCTCCACTCTAGCCTGTGCCTCCTGGATGGCTTCCTTGGTCCACCGGGGCGTCCCCTCTGGATATAGTTCCTTGTACCGCTGCGCCCTGAGGTGTGGATTCAAATCAGTATCCAGCCCGCTGGGTCGGAGACAGGGCTGTAAGCCGATTTCTGAGGTGGAACGGCTTTGAGTGGTATTCGTCGGTGGTGCCATGTCCATGGGGTCACTTGAGCTTGTGGACGACGCGCTATCCTCGGACTCGTCGATGTCCATGGGATCGGGAGTGTACATGGTACTAGGAGTAGTCATTGTTGATTGTATGGACTGTTCACGAGGGTAGAAGACTGAAGCTAGATTTGGCGAAGATGGGTGAATGCGAAGGTTGTTGATTCAATTACTGG